ATTTTATTAGAATGCGTCGCTGGAATTACATCGGTCACGTACTCAGAATGGACATACAGAGACTTCCCCACCAAGCCTTCATATGGTCACCAGAGGGTAAAAGAAAACAGGGAAGACCAAAAGAAACTCTCCGTAGAACCATCACAAGGGAGAGCTCAACCATAGGTCTCAGTCGCACTCAAGACCTACATCAAGTGGCAACGAACCGACGGACGTGGAAAGCTATGACCTCTGCCCTATGCGCCATCTTTGGCACAAGAGGAATAACTAACTAACTAACTATACATATATATCAATATATCACTCTGTCTGTCTACCTGTATTTATGTCTGAATTTATGTCTGTCTTCTTTCTACTTGTCTGTCTATTTGTCTGTTTATCTGAAGTAGTCATTAAAACGAGCCCAGCCTTATGAGTGCATCCCACTTGATCTGTTATTGACACACTTTCCCCTCATGTTGATGTTAAATGCAAGTATATACCATGTGTGTTTATGTTTTAACCCACAAATTATGCTCTTTATCTTTATGTTAAAACTATATTTTCGCAGAATATAATTTTTGCGGTTATGATAAATGAACATTTTCCCTTTTATACATTCATGTATTTATGCAGCGCACACAACAATCTACTGCAATATTCAATATAGTGATAGTTTTTTTTTTTTTTTTAATCAGTTAATGGAGTCCAGTATACGAACCAACCATGGTTGCCCGTCCCTAATAGATTGATAACACCAGTTAACTGCAGTTTATACTATGGAAGCTCAACGGCGCACCCTGTCGTCTATAAATAAATCTACAGGCAAAATCTGCGAACATGACTTTCCTCGGCTTGAAATAGTATAGGGAACACTGCAAGAAGGGGTTCAACAGTAGAAAATTATTGTTATCTAGACTGTGATGCATAGTTTTCTTACAGGGACGGTGTTTTCAACAAGTACAGAATACATACATATAATGTTCGGGAAGACTTTGTGCGTTGGGTTATTTTGTTTGTTTTCTGCAACATACTACACTGTTCGGTGGCATCGAATAGGTAAAAATATTACAGAAATAACTGTTGAAACACGGTCAGTGAGATAGCTGATAATCTAGTCAGCAACATACTCTATCTAGCCATATGTGTGCGGACCTGTATGTCTGAGTGTGTGGCGGGGGAAGGGGGTGGAGTGGATGTGAGTGTGAGTGTGTATTGGTGCGTGTGGGACTGTGGGTAGTTGTGGCTATGTTTGAGAGAGTGTGTGTGTCTGAGTGCATTTAATTATTGCAACCGTGCGCTAAAATCCTGAATATAATCACTCCAATTGTCACCTTTACATACATAGATACTAGAGCTGTACCGAATAGTGATTTTCACTATTCGGCCGAATACGAATAGCGGGACCAACTATTCGGCCGAACACGAATACGAATAGTGTGAAGTATATAAAATATATCTTTAAAAAAAAACATTCATAATGTCAAATGTACGCTGAACTTTTACTTCACATAAAGTAGCACAGAATAGTCATCTTCTTCTTTAGCATTCTGAGCATTTGAGGTTTACTGCTGCAGATATCACTCGTCTCCATTCATCTCTCTGGCTGATCTTCTCTTCACAGTTTGTGACACCAGTTGTTTGCAAGTCTGGCTGGACATTATCTCTCGAATTTCTTTTTTGCCTGCCTGGTGGTCTACACCCATTCTTTCTTAGGTGTATGAAGTTTTTACTTCTCTGTCATATGCCATTCTTTCAATATGCCCCAAACATTTTAGTCTGTTGGCTCTCGTGATGCCAGTGATCAATGGTGATTTAAACAGATTTTGTGTTACGTTGTTGCTTCTCACTCTCCATTCCCCGCTGTTGGCATCTTTAATAGGTCCAAAGATTTGTCATAAGACCGTTTTCAAAAACCTGTAATAAGGCCTCATCTCTTTTATTTCTGCTCCAAGTTTCAGAGTCATATAAAACGACTGGTCTTATCAATGTTTTATATATTTCTATCTTAGTGACAGACAATTTGACTTTAGCAGATGTTGAAGGGCATAGTAGACTTTATTTCCAGATTGTATTCTAGATTGTATTTCTTCTCTCAGCACGTTGGAGCAGTTGAATTTTGCACTCAAGTACTTATATGTTTCCGTTCGTTTTATTTTCATATTATCGACTTGTATGTGGCCGGAGTTTATATTCTTTTCATGTCTAGTTAGTATTCGTACAGAATAGTTAACATTTAAAAACATTTGATGTTTGGCATCCTTCAGTCAGTCTGTGGTAACTAATAACTAGGAATAAAAGAATCCTAAGTATCTTAACTTTGAAATTGTCACGGACAGCTTAGTTAATGCAGGAAAGCTGCATTAGCTTTCAACAAAACCAATCGTTCCATGTTGTCAGCCTAAGGCCGTGTTTGCAGAAGCGGGTGTGAGGTAACTACTATTCGTATTCGGCCCGACCGCAACTATTCGGCCGAATAACGAATAGTCAATAGATCCACAATTCCGCCCGGAAGCGAATACGAAGCAAATATTCGGTATAGCCCTAACACACACACACATACACAAAAATACTTACATACCTACCTACATTCATTCCTACATACATACATACATACATACATACATACATACATACATACATACATACATACATACATACATACATACATACATACATACATACATACATACATACATACATACATACATACATACATACATACATACTTACATCCATCCATCCATCCATCCATCCATCCATCCATCCATCCATCCATCCATCCATCCATCCATCCATCCATCCATCCATCCATCCATCCATCCATCCATCCATCCATCCATCCATCCATCCATCCATCCATCCATCCATCCATCCATCCATCCATACATACATACATACATACATACATACATACATACATACATACATACATACATACATACATACATACATACATACATACATACATACATACATACATACATACATACATACATACATACATACATACATACATACATACATACATACATACATACATACATACATACATACATACATACATACATACATACATACATACATACATACATACATACATACATACATACATACATACATACATACATACATACATACATACATACATACATACATACATACATACATACATACATACATACATACATACATACATACATACATACATACATACATACATACATACATACATACATACATACATACATACATACATACATACATACATACATACATACATACATACATACATACATACATACATACATACATACATACATACATACATACATACATACATACATACATACATACATACATACATACATACATACATACATACATACATACATACATACATACATACATACATACATACATACATACATACATACATACATACATACATACATACATACATACATACATACATACATACATACATACATACATACATACATACATACATACATACATACATACATACATACATACATACATACATACATACATACATACATACATACATACATACATACATACATACATACATACATACATACATACATACATACATACATACATACATACATACATACATACATACATACATACATACATACATACATACATACATACATACATACATACATACATACATACATACATACATACATACATACATACATACATACATACATACATACATACATACATACATACATACATACATACATACATACATACATACATACATACATACATACATACATACATACATACATACATACATACACACACACACAAGACAAATCAGTAAGACATTGTGTATTTAAATTCTGATTCTATAACTCTTTGCGTTTTTAGTGGTAACAATATTCAGTACTAATGGAATGGACGTCAGTAGACACTGTCAGAAACCGATAAAAGAAGTACGACCTGGGATCCTGTCGAATGGCGTGGACGCAAATATACAGAGAGCGAATGTCATCAGTTGAACTGATCCAGAACACCACAGACCGAGATGTGGAGATGCATCAATGCCTACGCCAGCTGGCAAGGCACTTGATTATGATGTAATGAAGTCTATCCTCTCGACTTAAACGTTTAGCTGAGTTCAGTTGATTCAAGAACCAACGTCACAGAACTCTGGGTGTTTCTAAAAGCTCCGTCCACATCTTCAGCAGCCAGCTCAAAGTTTCAATACCAATGATGCCAGTAGCATTCTAATTATACGTCCGCCTTGCCTTTCCTCTTATCGTCGAGTATGGGCCAGATCTTCTCGTCACTCACCGCGTCATCACTCTCACCAGACTGTGGTGTTAGCTTTTAGTGTTAAGTACGAGTAAACATGAATTATATCAACTGCCACTATAAAGGCACAAATTAGTCTGTGCAAGTTTAATGTCAGGTACGTTTTATTGCTAATTGCCTGTTGTTTTCTTGGGACAAAACCATTTATTTCAAGGAGCCGAGAATAAAAGTGTTGGAGTGGCTGGCTTTTGATTTATCTTTATTATTTTATTGACTATTCAAGTAAGGAATTATCATTTTCAGCCTATAGGCGCTTTGGGATTTGGTAGTTACTGGTGAAATATATTTTATGTAATGCTGATAGTGCTATCTTGTTGAGTTTTATATACATTTATTATTCTAATGAATTGGACGTTGTTATAACCATTAAATCCATGCAGGCATTCGTGATGTCAATAATAAATCCCACAAGTCAATCTACTTTGTTTTATAGTTTTGTTTGTTGGATGAATGTGTACTTAACATGATATATTCTTTTTTTTGGCAGGAGCTTCCGTACATTGGTTTTATCGCTCGACTTTGGAAATTAATGATAGCGTTAGCTGTCAAACAATGAATTATCAGCACGGGTTGTGTTTTCATATAAGTATCCATGTCTACAACAACTTGTGCTCACTCAACCGCTTCGGTGTTGTTGACTAAACAGATTCGAGAAGTATATAAACATGAAGGTGAGTTTGTGTCATCGACTTGTGGCGGTTTATCAACGGTGTCTGTTTCATTATTTTATTAGTTATTGTTCGCTTTTCCTTTCTCAACGTCAGCATCATAATTGTATCCCATCACTATCATCATCATTGTAATAATCATCATTATCATCATCACAATCGTCATTATCAATATTATTGTAATTATTATCATGATCATCTATCTCATCGTGCCTAAGGGGACAGGCAGTCAGGGACCACGTTAAACAGATGAGCTTGATGTCAGTGCGGGCCGCCAAATGATCGCAGGTGGGTGCTTTGCTGGAGTTCAACCAACATTCCCGAAGCGGAAGTAAAGTAAAGGACCCTTTTCCACGCCTTTAAGCATAAAGGGCATATAGAGCTAGACCTTTATTTTATACACCAATCAGCACAAGATGGGTGTTGTGGTCAGCGCCACCGCAGCCGCCTTTACTTCCCATTACTGCACCCGGTACCCACTCAAGGCCGGGTCAACCTGGGAGCCAAAGTCCTTTTTTCGTTTTTAAAAGTCCGGCTCTGCCAGGGAGTGAACCCACGACCTTCCGATCCGCAGGCAAGATCTAGCCGCTCCGCCACGGTGACATCCCCCCCCCCCCCTCCTTTTCCAAATCTGAAGCTTTAGTTTATTATTCTGACTAGGTTATTTTTGCAATAAACAATGGCTTTGCAATGCACGCCACCAAAGGCCCTGAAAAAAAAAGACTCCTGCAACATAACACAAAGACTATGACTGTGGGAAATCTGGTATTCTAATGAACTTTGTATTGGCCTTTGTAGATGGAGTGCTGTAATATCGGCTCTTTATTCTTAAATATTGTTGCAAATCAAACTTGAATTGAGATGAGTTGAGTAAAGAATTGATATCACAGAACTCGGGGCATTCCCATGGCTTCTCTGTCCTCATCTTCAGCAGCTAGCTCAGAGCTCCAATACCAATGGTACCTGTCGTAATCTGGTTGTATGTCCGTCTTGCCTTTCCTCTGAGTGTAGTGGAGAAAACAAAAAAAAACACTGGTACAAGTGATATGTTGCCCATTTGTGTAATGGAAACAATTTCAGAGAGTACACTGTAACTGTCGGCGTTCGTGGCTTAGATGTTGCGAGTCCGACTCGTAATCCAACTTAGCGTGATCGAAAGCCACTGCTGGCTGCGTGGATTTGTATCATGGTATGGGGCGTCGCAGATCGACCCAGCCTAAAATGGGTACCATGATGACTGTCCTGGAAAAGTAAAGACGGCCGGCGTAATGCTGACCACATTACCCATCCAGTGCCGAAAAAATATGGGACGCTCTTTCCATAAACCCGATGCGCCTATGGCGTGAAAAGGAATTTTTACATTTTTACTTTACTTACACTGTAACTAAAGGTCTCTTGCATAAATAAATAGCGCAAACTTTTTAAGTTGCAGGTTCAAGTAGCTTTAGTTTTGATATCACTTACTGCAGTCTGCAGTAGCACATCTGTGCCAGGAGCACCTTGGGTAATTTACCCAAGCATCGTTGACCCAATTGTCACACAAGCCGTCACTTTCATTAATGAGTATTTTCGAAGTTTGGGAGACTACACACCACGGCAAGCATTGCGGGTTCTTAGAGCAACTGAGCAGGTACGATGTCTGCATGTGTGTGTGTGCAGGCATGCGTGCAGTGTATAATATGTGGAGAAGTGTGTGTGTAATGTATATAATGTGTGTGTTTCACTGAGTGCGTGTTTGTGTGGCTTTGTGTATATTAGTAGGTCTTAAACTTCATTTAATAGATGAATTTACAATGATTTACACAGTTAAGGTGTAAATGAAGTTGCAAGAACGGGCATAAAGCAGCTTTATCTTGATCTCTAACTTCTGTTTCCTGTGGGAGGCTGTCGGCACCTTTTGATTTACAAACAGGCGGCGATATCCGAGGTTTTTCGCTCAGATAGTCATCTTCTTCTCAGCAATCACTGGCTGTAAACTCCGACAGAAAGTGTTGACTATTCCAACACGTCTTGACTATGGTCTTCTTGCAAAACTTGAGTTGTGTATGCACATCAACTTTAAAAATCTAGCTTATTTGCATTTCTAAAATTCTTGGCATATCATACATAGACCACATTACAAACGAAGAGGTTCGCCATAAAATTATACAACACATTGGCAACCATAAACCTCTTTTAACTACAGGGAGAAGGCGAAAAATGCAATGGTATGGACTACATATGTAATAAGATCTAGCGGCCTCTCAAAAGCAACAGTGCAGGGCTAAATACAGGAAAAGAGAAGAAAAAGCAGGCCAAGAAAAACCTGGTTACAGAACCTGACTGACTGGACAGGCCTCAGGCATGCAACCATGAAGTCTATCGCAACTGACCGTCAAAGGTGGAGACAGTTGATCAGACAGTCAACAGAAACTGGTGACCCAACGTCACGTAGTGTTATGGGATGATGATGATGATTTGTATTCAACTAGTGGCTTTCGCCTCACAGACAGCGGCATTCCGACTAATTACTTGTGTGTTTCATGAGTGTGCAGGCGTGTGGGTGAGTGGGTGTGCGTGTGTGTGCGTACGTGTGTGTGCGTATGTGTGTGTTGTGTAAGTGTGCATGTGTGTGTGTGTGTGTGTGTGTGTGGAAGGAGGGTGTTGGTGGGTGGGCCTCTACTAATTACTTGTTATGTAAGCAGGGGGTCGATGCTTGTTCCCACAAAAGTGGCCCCGAATACTCACAACCACCACATGTGCTCACTACCCAGTGTGGCAGATCACAGAGTTCGAATCCTGTCAAGTCT